GGCGGGGGCCGACTTCCTCCTCCCGCCCCCAAATCCCCAGCCGCCCGAGGCAGAAACAGCGGGAATCTCTCCAGGTCGCTGCGCTTGTGCCCTGGGGGGAGAATTAACCCAGCAATCGGCCTCCCCCGGCAAGCCCCGGAGCCCGGGTTTGAACGCGGGGCTGCACAGGGCCCGGGGCCGCTCCTGGGCCGACTGTGCCCTGGGTAGTGCTATTGTGTCCTCCACGTAGGCAGCAGTTGGCTCCCGGAGCTGGACAATGAACCTGACAATACATGAAATGTGCTGCTCTCTCTATAGGGGAGAAACCATTCATAGAGCTCAGAGCTGGGACCCTCCCCCGTCTCCGCTCTCCTTTGTGGCCCTGTCTGGCGCGGCAGTTTAGACCCTAAGCTCTTTGGAGCAAGGAGCATGCCCTCCCCCCAAAACAGAACAGGAGGACTTGTGGCACCTTAGAGACTAACAAAGGTGCCACAAGGACTCCTGTTCTTTTTGCGGATACAGACTAACACGGCTGCTACTCTGAAACCTGCCCTCCCGCAGTTCTCCATAGCCCTGGGGACACTGAAGGAGCTTAATAAATAATCAATAAAATAATAAACAGTAAATCATAATGCCACTGTATAAATCCATGTAGGCCCACACCTGGAATACACCCTGCAGTTCTGGTCGCCCCATCTCGAAAAAAGATATATTAGAATTAGAAAAGGTACAGAGAAGGCCAACGAAAATTATGAGGGGTATGGAACAGCTTCCATCTGAGGCAAGATTAAAAAAGACTGGGACTGTTCAGCTTGGAAAAGAGATGACTGAGGGGGGATATGATAGGGGTCTATAAAACTATGAAAAAAGTGAATATGGATGTGTTATTTACCCCTTCACATAACAAAAACCAGGGGTCACCCAATGAAATCTATAGGCAGCAGGCTTAAACAAAAGGAAGTACTACTTCACACAATGTACGGTCAACCTGTGGAACTCATTGCCAGGGGATGTTGTGAAGGCCAAAAGTATAGCTGGGTTCAAAAAAGAATTAGATAAATTAATGGAGGATAGGTCCATCAGTAGCTATTAGTGAAGATGGTCAGGGATGCAACCCCAAGCTTTGGGTGTCCCTGAGCCTCCGACTGCCAGAAGCTGGAACTGGACAACAGAGGATGGATCACTTGAGGATTACCTGTTTGTTCGTTCCCTCTGAAGCACCTGGCATTGGCCACTGTTGGAAGACAGCATACTAGGCTAGATGGACCATTGGTCTGACCCAGTATGGCCGTTCTGATGTTCTAAATGTTAAATAACAACAACAAAAACACACTGCAATCAAAATAAAGAGCCAGTCATCCCTCTAGGGCCAGCTGGAACCAAAGGATCCGGTAAACCCCATAACCTTCAGATCAACCAGCCTACACACGATAGTCACTTCGCCAACAGCACTCTGCATATCTACAGCATCTGAGGATTTCAAAGCAGTTTTTGAACATGAATGAAGCCTCACAACAAATTCAAAATCCTCATGACAAGCTAAGCTGGGGTTATCAATGTTTAAAAAAGGGACAGAACTTTTGAAGTCTGGGTGAGAGAGAGATACAATGTGCCCAGTTTCTGCCCAGGACAGGGCATCAGAGGGCATTTGGGGTTTAATGCCCCATGTCTAATTGCCATTATTTTCTGTTCCTGATTCATCAGCAGGTTGCTACAGACCTGTAAGAGACAGGAATAAAAATTTTATTAAAGGGTTAATGTTTAAAATCAAATTTACATAAGTTAAGAGGGAAGGTACTGTACATCTGAGGTCAGGCTTGGGTTATGGGGGATTGCAAGTATCGGTTACAAGGTTCATGAGGTACATACATATCACATAACCAGCATAGATCCAGATTGGGGTGCGGAGTTTTTAAAGCATCAGTGGATAAGTGGGCTCAGGTATGCCACCCATGGAATGTATTAAGAGTCCAAGTCAGTATCAGTGTAGCGAATAAGTACATGGGTGGGATGAGTCCCTCAGTTTGTCAGGGAAGGAAGTGGGTTATTTCCCTGGTTGGTGGTCTCGGTTACTCGACCTGGTACTGGCGGTGTCCCGTGATGTGATCTGTGTAGATGTCTCTGGACCACCTGATGGTGTTGGACACCATGAGCTGTCTCGTGAGCAGGGCATAGCGTCAACCAACTCCGCATGCTCTCAGTACTGGCTCGTCGTGGGAGTCCCATGCACCCAGGGCTCCCACGATCAGGGCGTGTATCTGGACCTCGTAGCCCTGGGCTCTCAGGGTGTCAGCCAGCAGGGTGTACTTCAACGCCTTCCGTGCTTGGGCCTCGTGGAAGGCCGGTGACCTGTTTTCAAATGGCACCGTGACGTCTACCATGACGTCTACAACAATGTCAGGTCGCAGTCGGCTGTCTGTCCTGGGGATGGCGGAGTCGATGGTGATCTTCCCCAGGGACGACGAGATGGCTTGCACCAGCCAGTTCTGGATATATTATTATCCCTATTTCACAGAGGCGAAGTGGTTTAGCCAAGGTCAACAGAAATGTGTGGTAGAACTGGAACTCTAGCTCCAAGACCTTTCTTCCACTTAATGCAAAAGACAGAGATGAAAAATGGATCTGCACATGCAAAATATGCAAGTGAATAAAGGGAAAAATCCAAAACCCTAGTCCTGGATAAGCCTTCTGAAACACTGGAGATTGCAGTTTCAATAATCAAAAAGCCACCTAAACCTATAGCTAATTTGCTCTCTGCTGGGAAAATTAAAACCAGGCAAATAGTTTTGTTTGTTTGTTTGTTTGTTTTTCCAAATTTGGAAAATAAAATGTTTTCATGAGCCAAACTCTTGAGATATTCTAGGCCATGGTTCAGAGCAGAATTTGTGATTATCGCCAAGCCACATTCCT